CCTAAGCCAAGATTAGGCCTGTCTAAGTCTAAGAATACGCCGAAACACAAGCTTAAGCCTATCAAACAATACGCCGAAGCCTAAGCCTAAGTTTAAGCATAGCCAAGCCTGACCTAAGCTTAAGCCTAAGCCTAATCTTAATCTTAAGCCTAACCCAACAAAAATAGTCGTATATTCTATGGCATTTTTATCGCCCTGGGATTAAACCGGAAGGATTCGAGCAAAACGTATGGCCCACTACGGAATGACAACGTTATTACGTTTCACACGCCTTCCAGGTCCCTTTAGAGGTATCAAAAGTTAACAAAGAGCCGCCCATGTCCAAGGAAGCGCAATATCATATCAGAATAGGTATAGAAATGGTAAGCCTAGGGCCGGAGGGTGCTGCTTGTTGCCCCCTTCGACGCCCCTTTCAATAGCTCGATGTGCAGTGGCCATCAGCCAATCAGACCGTGACGCGATTCGCCCACTTTCCATCTTTTCCTCCCGCCCTCTCCCTCTCGTGCTCAACCTATTGAAAGCCACACACCGGACATGGGGAGCAAGAGCAGGAGAAGGAGGAGAAGGAGGCGGACAACCATATCCATTCCACTGCTTCTGGACAGTCAAGTGAGCAGCAGCAGCTATGGATGGATATGGTTGAGTTGGCAAGTACGAGTTTGTGTCCACAATAGCCGGAGGAGCTAGCGAGTCCGAGCAAGAGCTGGCGAGATACAATCGTTTCAAGGGGCTGAGAAGTCAGAGGAAGAAGGAAGTTGTGCTTGAGCAAAAGGCTAAGCCTAGGCCTAAGCCTAATCCAATCTAAGCCCAAGCCCGGGCTTCACCTACCCTAAGTCTAAATCTAAGGCTAAGCTAAGCCTAAACCTAAGTCTAATCCAATATTAAGCCTAAGCCTAAGTCTGCCAAGCCTAGGCTTGGGTTTTTACCTAATGTTAAGCCAAAGCTAAGCGGCTTTTAGCAGATTTTAAAGCTATAGGAATCCAAAACAGCTAGGAAAACTAGCATAAATCATTGTGGATAAATACCGACACAGCCTAAACTAGCTTCTAAAAGTAATATGAAGCCAGGATCGCTGGGTAAGCCAGCAAAAACCATTTCCGAGGCCCTGCTAAAGCCCTGCCACCCGAATTCCGGTCATAACTGGGTCACCTCCAACTGCATGATCAACCTTTTTCCCGACCGATAATAGCTGGGGCTGGCTCGCCTGGCCTATTTGGGCTGACTGACCGGTAAAGCTGGATATTTCGGAGCTTGACATGAAATTGAGCTGACTCACGATTTCCGCAATGTTCTCCGCTACCAATTCTTCGGTTTCTGATGTGAGATGGGCCAGTAATGGGAGAGAAAGAGAGAGAGAGAGAGAGAGAGAGAGATGGAGATAAAGAGAGAGAGAGAGAGAGAGAGAGAGAGAGAGAGAAGGAGAGATAGAGAGAGAGAGCGAGAAAGAAATATAGCGAACGACCTAAAGAGCGAGGCGGTAAGTTAAATACAGAGAGCCAGAGAACCAAAGAGATCCTGGATTACTGTACAAAAATATTGCAAGAAATTATGAATTTTACGAGATTCCCGGGGCGCTCATTAGCAGATCCTGGCCGGCTAGCTTTCAGCCAAGTGAAGGAATTCAAAAAACACAGCAAATTCAAAAACTGATCATTCGCAACCCCCACCAGGGCCACCCAAAAAAACGAGGTCAACCTGCTGAAAATTGAAGCCTAAAGGGTGACCCCGCCCCTCCCCCGGTACCTGGATGGGGTCATGTTGCGAACCTCTCGCTCCCCGGGTCTTTCGGCTGTCATAACTGTTGTCCAGCCGGGCCCGGTTGGCCAGGAAATGAAGGTCAACCTCTCGATTATCCTCCCCTCAGGCTGGAGCGCCAGGGGGATTACGGTATTAGGCCGTGCGTGTGCCCCAAGGACACGGCGATACAGTGAACACCCCCCCCCCACCCCAGTATACAAACATTGGTAACGGTAATTAGGGGGCAGGCCCCAAGGGCAATCATTCATTATTAGATGGGGAGAGAGAGGGCCGGGAGCATCGGATTTACCCCCGGCTGATCCTATAGAAAAGTTGGGACTGTCGGGTCGAGATGCGGTTAGTGAACGGCGGGAGTAGTGGCCCGGAAAACTGGAGCCAAACGTAAGATATAGTAGTGTATGTAGTAAGCCAGCCAGTTAACTAACTTTAAAGGGACGAGAAAAAAAAAAGCCAGCGATTACGTGGCTTGCCGTAGACAACATCCGAAGGGTAGTGTCTTGTAGGTTCCTTTAAGAAATGACTACATGGGTAAGAAGAGAGAGAGAGAGAGAGAGAGAGAGAGAGAGAGAGAGAGAGAGAGAGAGAGCTCTAACGCTGGGCTGGCGAACTAAAAAATCTTCTAAAGGGATAGTGACAACATCCGAAGGGTAATGCCTTGTAGGTTCCTTTAAGAAATGACTACATGGATAAGGAGAGAGAGAGAAAGAGAGAGCGACCGAGAGAGAGAAGGAGATATAGAGAGAGAGAGAGAGAGAAAGCTCTATGCTGGGCTGGCGAACTAAAAACATCTTCTAAAGGGATAGTGACAGATCTTTTCGACCCTAATAGAGAAAATCACATCTTTAAAGTTCCTAGTCCCTTTAAAAGCCCCCAACAAGTCAAAATCACGAAATTGGGGATCTGAATACGATAACTGCCAAACTTTGGTACGTGCGAGGCTGAAGTCCCAAACTACGACCGGCTCCATTGGACACTGCAAAATACGTTAGGAACGAAATGGGATACCCCCAACGTTCGAGAGCAACGATTGGAGCCTTCTGTACACCCTGTTCAGCGCCCTGGGCGGATCACCAGGGGGGATTGGCCCGATTTGTCGACGAGCCGAGAGGAGGGGAAACCCACCCAACTGACCCCAATCCCTAGCCAGCTGGGTCCCGAGGCGAAAGTGGGGGGCACGGACCCGCCACTTCGAGAGGAACACCTAGACACCGCCGAAATTCCACAAAATATCTTAAAGGGACTGGGAAGGCATGGGAAGGTGTTTGATTCGCTCTGGATTTCCTATGGATTCCTTTAAGGCAGCGACACGCCACTCGCGTGTTCGCTCTGTCCGGCGTGCGTTGCGGATCGCGGGGGCGTTAAAATTTGTGGCCGTTGTCTAAGTTTCGCCTGTTTGCCCATGTTGTAGTTGTCCAGGCCTAGCCGTGCTAGGGGGTCGATTCTCGGGCTTAATAGCCTCCGCTAAGTTATTGTAGCTAGAAGAAAATTTTCTAATTTTTTTGGCAAGTTACCGTTTGATTTTTCGCTGTTTTGAGGCTTTTTTATTCACGAAACCTTCGAAATTGGCTATTTACGGCCTTAAATAAGGATGCTAGTACCTTTCTGGATTTAGAAATCGCTATTTTTAACTAATTTTTCGTCTTTTTCGAACGAAACCAATTTTCCTCGCCTAAAATTTTATAGATATTGATCGTTTCGATATTTTCAACGCTCCAGCCAGCCAATCCAAGCCATCCAAGCCAAAGCCAACGGTCATGCTCCGCGACAAATGACCCCGGTGCGGTATACGGTCCCTCCCTCCCCCCAAGACGAGACGATCCCCCCGTCCTTATTGGGGTTGTGCTGCGTACCAAATTGAGGCGCGCTGAGTGCATGCATCTTTGTTACCGCGGAGGGTCTCACGTCGAGCAAGCGCGTCTCCCGGCCCGAATCCGTCGACTGTAAAATCGGGACGAGCAGTGCTGCTGGACCAGCCGTGTCGGTGAACGAGGGTCAATCCGACTGGAATTCCCGCATACACACAACTCGTCCCACTTGCCTCTCGCCCCTCAAATACCAGATCCCAGCCCCCCGGCCCGCGGGCGCCTACCCACCAATACTGGCAATCCCGGGGGTAACAAAATTTAACTAAAAACTTTAATTAACAAAGAAACGATTTTAGCGAGCTGCAACTACGTGGTGTGCCAAAGAAAATCGACCCCTCTGGCGGTTCGGAAAAAGCTCGGATCGGGATGCTTTTTTACACCATTCGAAAGCCATTGAAACGGCGAGAAAACAAGCGCTTTTAGTTTTTCCAAAATTGTTTAGCCCGCACTAGACATTAATCTATAACGAGATTTTTCAACAAAAAACCCAGGAAATTACCTGAAAACGGCGGGGTCAAAATATTCGAGAGGTAGCCCGATGGCTCGGGTGTTGATTTCAAGGCTTGGCAGAGCTTCTCCGTCGTTTCGGAGAGACGTTTGGATCTAAAAATAGTTAACATCGTATTAGCAGTCAAACTAGTCAAAAAAATTTTTGGTTTATTCTGTTCTATATATTACTATTTTCTATTCTTTTTCATACCTATTCATTCATTCCTCAAAACCATTCTTTAGTTTTTTAATTGCATGAATTTACCTGCCCTACATTAATTTTATTACACTAGTCTTGTGCCACCCGCCCCATCCCACTGTGAATCCCCCCGCCCCTGCGTTTCATTTTCCATTTTTTGCCATTACCCCGGTTACCTGCATCGACGAGAGCCGATTTCCGGTTTCTCACAATTTCCGAGCCTCCCATTTGCTGTGTATATTGTAAGTGGGAAATTCCTTGTCTTATTGACTCATCTGCATAGATAGATAGTGGAAAGATAGAAACGATCACAGAAAGGTTATCGCAGAATTGGGTGTTGAATCGGGTAGAGATCAACGGGAGCAAGGCACCAGCTACGGCGACAATATACGACAATGAAAATATCAAAATTCCACGACACTTGCAGCCTAAAAAAATTTCGAAAACGAGCGCTCATTTAGATACTTTTTACACTTCATTTTGCCCTTTTTTAAGCCGTGTAATGCATAATTTCAAAAACCAAAACTGAAGCTGTGGGCAAAATTTGGCCGGCCGCAAACGTCGTGCTCAAGATTAGAGTTATAAATAACACATATGAAGACGGAGGTATCAAAATTATAATGGAATCCGGGATGGGGTAGAGATCAACGGGAGACAGGTCCAATCATTTTGGACTCGATGATGGGTCAATCAATGGGTATTTGTGGCAGCTGCTTGCACAGCTCCTCGTCGTTTAGCCAATTCCGAAGGATGCGGTTTTGCTCCATTAGTGCCTCAACGGCCTAAAAGCATAATTTTGAAAACTTTAGATAGTAGTCTACCTGATTCTTCACCAACATACGGTCCTGGGCCTGGCTGAGGCGCCGCTGCAGTTCTCTCTAAAAACGGATTTAGTCAGAAAACAGACGTTTCCTTACATTCTCCGATTGTAGCTGAGTGATTTGCCTATCCTTGTCCTCAACGCTGCTTTGCGGTGCTCGCTAAACGGAAATATTACAAAGTTAAACTACCAAAAAATCACAAATAATGATTTTAAGAATTACCTCTGGGTCGGGCATTTGCGTGTCTAAGGAAACCCTGTGCATCGCAATCCGCAAGTCTCGCCCTTCAAAGATATCTAAAACGCAAAAATAAAGTAAAGCTGCAAAAAACCCACTTTCCCCTTTGGTCTGCAAAACCAGGAGACGGGACGCGGATTTCAAAGAGTCCTCTACGCCGTCAAGCTCCAAGTCCTCGGACGGGCGACCGATCAGCATGGCGGAGCGCCGCTTTTTCGGACACGGCTCGGTATCAGCGTCGAAGGTGCCTAAAAATGAGTCCGAGGAAAGTACGAGAAAATACCTGGCTCGGTTTTCACCTTCGCCGTCATGCAAACAACCCCTTGTGATGTGGGAGCCGAGCGCTTTTTTGCCTAGAATCAAATTGTATAATTTTACACTACTGCTGATTCGTTTTCAAGCTATTAATCGAGAAATTCTGACTTAAACACTACTAAAAACTGCAAATTCATCAAAAATCGTTCCTTACCTCGCAAAATGGAGGTGAGGCGGCTTGCTTCGCGGCGCGAGTGCTCGAGGTCGACATGCGGAAGCGAAGTTGGTGGCGCGGCTTCGCGACCGAGATCTGCAGGTCCTCGTCGTCGCAGACCGGTTCAGGCTTGATGCGCGTGAAAAGGGGGTGATCCTCCGAGGTGCTCGCGTCCGCATCCACGGGCCCGATCGCAGATGTCATCGCCCTGGTATCATGTCCGTTCAGCCCTTCGCGCAACATCACGAAATGCTCGGTGAGCTTTTCGGCGCGAGACGGGAAGTTGCGGATGGATGCCTGCAGTAAGAAGTCGTACTTTTCTCGGGTTCTGAAACAGCACGTTAAAAGTGACCTAGGAAAAACAAACAATTAAACTGCAACAAACCTCAAGCCCCTGGTGTCTCCTCGTCCCTCATGCGTTTTGTCGCGGTGATGTTGGATAGCCGATGTGCAACTGCTCGTGTAGTTGCACTCTGAAAAACTGGAAATTATTATAAACGTATTTTAACAAACCGGTGCACTTAAAGAGCACACATGGCGCGTGGAAGAGGGTGTGCTGCAAAAGCCGGTCGGCAGCAGCCTGGCGGCCGTCGAAAATTTTCGCACAAGCCTAAAAGAATGTTCGCTTTCCAAAAAAGCATACCTCGCACTTTAGCAGAACATCCCCCTGGGGAATTTGACCATCGGCGATGCGTCCCTCATCAATTTCGGGCGCGTCTGTCCAAAGCTAAAAAAAACAGATATTTTCGAGGAAGACTTTTAAAGCAAGCGAAGTTAAACTAGAAGTAAGCTCACATGAAAAACCGGCTTCCCGTCATTGTTTTGATACATTTCCCGCTCCTTTGTTGGTTAGTCTAAAAACTTGCAGGTATTGGAAATACAAAAGAGAAAAACATTGAGGAAACTTAAAATTAGTAACAAATCAAGAATTTTAAGGCAGAAACGTGTCGCACAATGTATTTTGAGAGGTTTCTAAAGCTGCTAACATGCAATTCCATTCCCTAACCAAATGTTACGCGGCGCTCCTAGGCGCGCCACTGTCCACGGACGGTGTAATTCGTACTATCAAAATTTAAAAATCTATAAATTACTATAAATCCTATCCTATAAGCGAGAAAAGTATGTCTGTATTCTGTACAGCCGATTTCTCGGCCGCCAGGCCGAATTTTGAGCTGATTTTTGGCATGGAGGTGGAGAAACACATTTGTCAGTGACGCATTTTTTTGTTTTTCGAAATTCCTTCATTTAACGGTTTTACAAGCAAAATAGTGAAAAATCCTTAACATCTTGGCCGAAAAAAGGTTTGTTCAGAGGATACCTCTCGAGCCAAATGGAGTTAGGCGCTAATTTTTGGAGGGCAGATTGAAAATTACATTCTCCTGTGATATAATTCTGGGTTTTGGCAGATCTTATAATCTAAAATTTTTATGAGCATTTTTCCAAAAAGTCCTTAACAAAATGGGCCAAGAGCCGTGGTGTCCGGGGCATAACTCGAAGCCCAGATGGAATTTTGGGCTGGAATTTGGAAAACTTATGTATTCGATGGTGGGGATCATGCGCATCTTATTATCTTTACAAATTTTCAACTGATTCAGACTCGAAAACCGAATTTTGTAAAGTGACCAGTAGGCCTCCCTCTGGGATCATGGGTCGCCATTCTCTTTGCCTCCCCCCCTCCCCCAGGGGAGAAGAGGCCTTTCCCGCTGCCTGTTCCCATCGTCACGGTGGTGCAGTGCATTTGCGTCTATCGGCCAGGCGCGTAGTAGTGAGTTCGGATCCTGCCCGGATCTAACTTTTTGCTTTTTGGTAGTTCAGCAACAAAACATATTTCTAGGCACTCGGTGTGCGGGGGATAGGCCTGGCCCTCGCTCTAGCGCCGCAGGCCAAGGATGGGTCCTGGACCCGGGCTCTTGCGCCGCAGGCCAAAGCCTGGAGAAAAACCAGTAACTAGCGCCGCAGGCTTACAAATTCTTAGCGCAACGCTGGCTCTGGCGCCGCAGGCCAAAGAATGGTTCCTTTACTCCGGTTCTTGCGCCGCAGGCCCAATATGGAGAGCAAAGTCAGTAGCTAGCGCCGCAGGCTCAAGGTTTCGAACGTAGCCCGCCCTCCGGCGCCTCAGGCCGAGGAATGGCTCCGGGCACTCCGGCACTTGCGCCGCAGGCTTGAAGACAGGAAAGGGTGAGAATTCGTGGTTCTTAGACGGGGGTCCAGTGGAAAATGGCCGCGAAGCGGGCTTTTTTCCACTGGTTTGCTATAAATGACGATTTATCTCGAAAATTTCATAGAAACATCCTACTATATATAAAAAAATAGTGTCTGTGTGTGTGTGTGTATATTTGCATGCACTTCCGTTTGGATGTTCCGCACCTACAGCCTCAGGGAAGCATTTTTTGGGGCGGGAAGAAACGTCATTAGGTAAAGAAGGGCCCGGAATCGACTGCACACACATAAAATCTTGGAAAAATTGTTAGTTTCGCTATTAAACTTAGGTTTTTGTAAAAATCTTGGCTTCCCTCTTTGTTAGGGAAAAATTAGCATACGCGGGAAGTGGAAATGGCTGATAAAAAGGAAGGGAGGGCGTGGTTTTCATTTTTGGTGATCGTCTTCGGAAAGAATTATGCAAAGTCATTACTTTCATAGGTCCTAGACGGGGCCAGGGTTGAAAAGCCGCGAAGCGGTTTTTCAACCCTGGTTGCAAATAAATGAGACCAGTCGATATCAGCCGCTTCGCGGGGGGCAAGGCAATACAGGGTGCTTCCCATTCTCTTTAGTATATTTCCCGCTTGGCGCGAATACCTTCCGTTAGACCTCCCGAACCCCCCCCCCAACCCCCTCCAACCCCCCAAAACCCCCCTACCCAACCCCCCAAAACCCCCCGCCCAACCCCCCACCCAGCCCCCCAAAACCCCCCTCCCAACCCCCCTATAGGATATTACGCAGAGGGTCGGGGGTTCGATTCCCGGCCGCGGGGAAAACTTTTTGCTTTTTGGGTATCCGGTTCTGGGGGGGTGTGACAAGCCTAGAGGGCAGTCAATTTTTTTATCGAACTTATTTTTAAACCAGTACGACCCCGATTGGTACCCGGTGAATTGCTTTATTTGCTTTATTTGAGAGTGTGGCTTGTTTTTATTTTCGGAATGACACCATTAATTGATTGTAATGCTATGCCCTACACAAATAACTCATTAGGAAACAGTTTAGCCCAAAATTGCAGCGTTTTGCCAGCCTTGAGCCTGGAAATGAAAATTCGATCAAAAATTTTGCTTTCCGGAAGATTTGGTGTCTAAAATGTTGTCAAATCGCAGGTATTTTAGATAGGAAAGCTAGTTTACACTTTTTAACAAGATTTCGTGGTTGAACATAACAAAAAAACTGGTTTAATCAATTGTTATCCATTGGCAGCAAGCAAAACCGACAAAACTAACCGCTTTCCCACTTTTTTCGTGCCGTAATGGTTGTTCATTACTTGCTAAAGCTAATGGTAAGCAAAAACATAAGTATAATAAGTGTAGTTAACTTATAGTTTATGTATCGAACCCCCAAAAAGCCCCCAAAACCCCCCAAAAAAACCCCCCAAAACCCCCCTGCTCAACCCCCCAAAACCCCCCGGCCCAACCCCCCAAAACCCCCCTACCCAACCCCCCTCCCTCTACCTTCCGTGATCTACCTATGCCCCTCCTCCAAAACCAAAGAACCTTCCACTCCTGCTCTTCCCCCTGAAAGAAACCCCCCAACATCCGTAGTTGAACAAAACCTAAACAAAAGTAGAGGGGAAGTGTAATGGTCAGCACACCCCCTAGCAGCAAAGCTCTAACCTTCTTTAAGAATAAAAAAAAACATAAAAGAAACTTGTAATAGCAATAATACCCTTTGAAACAAAACTCTCTCCCTTCTTTGATACTAAAAAACATCTAAGAAACGCGTATTGGCTAGAATACCATTGAAAGAAAGTTATTCCCCTTCTTAGATACTAAAAACATCTAAATTATGCTGAAAACAATGTAAAAACACTTTATATTTGATTATTATCCCCACCAGGGCCGACAAAAAAAAAGTTGGTTCCCCCCCGCTTATCCGAATTGTACCATCAATAGAAAGGCGAGCTGATTGGTAGTTTAGTAAACAACAAACAACAACAACTTACTACCCTGCCGGGTTTTTTTTGCAGTTTGGCGCCCCGTTTCGCCAAACCAATCAAGCGTTGATACCTGAGTTCGGCTTTTCCTACCTTATTACGGCTTTTATACCTCAGTTCGGGTTTGATACCTCATCTGCTTCTTGACGTTTGCGTTAAAATCATACTGCTAGTATCGAACAAGTGTAAATGACGCGTTCGGAGGCCAGGAACGCCATGAAAAAGGCTTGTTTAGGAGCTGATTGGTAGTTTAGTTTCGATTTCGAATTTAGTTTAGTTAGTTAGTTTTGTTTTCGCGGCATGAAGACGAAAAGTTGCCTAAGAACATGATCAAAATCGCTATTTGGGAGCGTTATCGCGCCTGCCTCGAAAAAAAATGAAAACGAAAAACCCCGGCGGGGAAGTAAGTTGTGATCTACGAGCGACAAACTATCAGAAAACTACTTTAAAATTATGAGAACAACTATGAAAACCTTTTATTATCATTAATTTTGAACGTTACCATCGGATGCCCAAAAAGTCGGACTTTTCGGCCGAAAATCAACACTACTTTAAAGCCTAATAACAAAAAAGTACCAAAATAGATTTTTGGGATCTTGGTCTCAAAAGAGGATAGACAAAGGCATATTTCACCAAATTCCATTCACTAACGGTAGTTGTGAAATCGCGCTAAGGGAATAGTCGCGAGACTACTCATATAGTTATTAACTCATTTAAGAGTTAATACATTATTATTATTGATTATTACTTATTTAACGGATGCCGACGCCATAATTTCGTCGGTTACGCGTGGGAAGGAAAATGTCTCTGCGCCTCTCCCTTGGCGCACTCTCTGCACTGTTGGCTGCTTGCCAATTTGTTGATGGCCCTCTCTCAAGGGGTTCGCCACATGCCGTCTAACGTGCTTTAAAACCGTTCTTAAAGATTTTTACGAACTGTTTCCAGGTCGATCAAAAGCGTGCTGATTGCAAAGTTTTTTTTACTCAACTTTGAGTTTCGGGACCGAGTGCATCCTGTGCAGATTTTTTGCTGATTCCGAATCCGTTTTCCAAAATTGCTGCGGACTTTTATTTAAAATAGTTATACGGCAATTATGATGGTGTTTTTCACCAAGATCAAGTTACTGTTCTAGTTTCCTATTTTTTTGATCAATTTCAACGTTAAAATTGGCTAGATTGGCTAGACAAACAACTTACAGGTCAAAACAAGTTTTTTTGATAAAAAATTAGGTTTTTGCTTTGCCTAAAATTGCTAAAAAATTGCTAAAAATACTTTGCCAATGCACCATGGTGCCAACTGGGCGGTGGGCTTTGAGAGCGTACTTGACGGCCCCTGGGAGTCATAGAACCAAGCAGGGAATAGCGGGTCAGAATTCCAATTTTTGCCTTCTTTACGCCTAATTTGAACCAAAAATTACTTTTTAAATAAAAGTCCGTAGCAAATTTGGAACGGATTCGGAATCATCGAAAAATTCTGCACAAGTTGCACTTGGTCCCGAATCGAAACTCAAAGTTGAGTAAAAACAGTTTTCAGTGATCTCGAGAAGGAGCACCGTCTGGAGACGTTCGCATCGACTGCCAGGAAACCTTCGCTTCGATTGAAGACAAGATCCGAACTCTCGACGATTCTGACACCCTCACAAATCTTCTCTCGGATAAGTTAAAAGTATTTATGAATCTTAATCGTAAACCGGATG